CACCAAGCACTGAATACGTAGTTATGTATAATAACACTTGTGAAGCTATGAATAATTTTCTTCTGTCACCCAAGAAGGTAGAATATCCTTTTAAAAATTTGAACATGAATCTTAACTCTGAAATAATGTTTTTTACCTATTACCTCTTCCACCTTCCGTCACATTTTGGTGATTTTTTTTTTCTTTTAGGCAATCCAAAAATGTATGACAAGTGTTTATAAAAGTTTTTGTTGAAAGTACATTGTTTAGAAACAGCTTTTTTTAAAAAAAGAGTTTAAAAGGAATACAAGGCAACCAGAAAAAAAAACCAAACTTGTTCGACTTTAATATCTGCCTTAATTAAGAAGGGATCAGAATGAAAAACTACAGAAATCTCTTTTTATTTATTTTTATTTATTTATTTACTTTTTTTTTTTGAATTGGAGTCTCACTCTGTCGTCCAGACTGGAGTGCAGTGGCCGCTCCCGGCCACCGCAGCCTCGACCTGCTGGGCTCCGGCGATCCTTCCGCCTCAGCCTTCCGAGTAGCCAGAATTACAGGCATGCGCTACCACGCCTGGCTGATTTTCTGATTTATTGTAGAGATGAGGTCTCGCTGTCCAGGCGGGTCTCAAACCCACAGGCTCAGGCAATTCACTCACCTCAGCCTCCCAAAGGCGCAGGATTACAGGCTGAGCCACCGAGCCTGGCTAGACTGAACACGGTAAAATTCACAAATAGAGAACCTATAAATTTTAAATCAAGACAGAGAAAAGTTCTGAAGGGACTCTGGCCAGGAATACATCACTTCGTAAAATATAAACACCATGGTGCACAACTCTTGATGATTACAATCGGTGGGTAAAGTTTGTGTTCAGCATTCCCTCTGTTCTCAAAATGAAGTCATTCTAAAAATGAGAATCTGCCTTCCATCACCTTGAGCGATCCTTAGAAATTTCAGTAAGACTAGTATTACCCTGATCCTTTCTTCCCACCAAGTGACCTACAAAAGCCTGTCCATTTTCAAACTACAGAAGCAGTAACTGAGAGATCTTAGAAGGTTAAGCAACTTCTGTTTTAAAATCAGGTGTTTTTCTGTGTTATGACCAATCACAAAAGCCACTTTAGATTGAGACTTGAGAATTCCGTTATCAGAAAACTCTGCTCTGTGGGGACACTGTGCTGAAAAGGAACATGAGGCCCATCTGCCTTCTCTAAGGTGCTGTGGTTTATTACACTTAGCAAACTGTTCTTCTTGCCTTATTGGTAATGGGCCCTTCTGCTTTGGAAAACTGAAAAGGCTAAGATTTCCATGCTGTGTCCTCTCCAAAGGGAAGCAAGGCAGGTACCACTGGCTGAGTGCACCTTCGGTCCGAGTAGCTATGCCAGTCACTGGTAGATGGTCTTACGGGGCCCGTCAATGACCTCAAAACAGAAAGTTGCTGCCCAGTTTCACAGCTGAGGAAATCCATACCCAAACAGGTTAAATGACTAACCCACTGGCCCATGGCTTGGAAGTAGGAAAGGTAAAATTAAAATCTAGGCCCACAGATTTTAATGACAAAAATGTGTCATTTTTTTCTCACTTTTTCAGAGGATTTTTATCTTTATTTCTGTTAGGTAAGCCATTAGCTGACCAATAAAACTTATCATTTAATTTTTCCTGGACATTGCCTACTTGGAAGAGGCGAAATGTAAAATAGCAGTTTTCATCTTATGAATTGAACTTTTCTTCAAAGAGATCTAAAAAATTATCCAAATCCTAAATTGTTCCTTAAAATTCATAAAGGAGTTCAATAGACAAGATTATTCTTCTTTGGGAAGTTCAGAGACAATTCCACACGGACAGCTTACAGCACCTAGGGCTTCTACGGCCAGACAATAATTCTACCAGGTAGTGTTCAGTGTTTTTTGCAAAATGGTCTCTAGGTGGTGCAATGAGCATGTTATTCTATTTACTGAGGCTTGACTATTTCTGGCTGGCTGGGTATTCAAAAGTGAAAATAACTGCTTGTCAAAGTTGTTGGGTCATTTCCAATATTAGAAATCATTCCTAAGTAGTCTTTCCAACTTCTCAACTCTCTGATGCAAGACTGTGTGACCTGGGAGAACTTGCAGGAGAAAAGACCAAAATTGAAAACTAAAAAAAGAGCCATGGAAAAAGAAAGAAAACAAACTCTTTTTTAATTGTTCTGTTTGGGGTCTTTGCATTTTCTAAAATGACTTTTCAAGTCCTCATAAATGCCAAAAGCCTTAAAACCACATCAAATTAACTTCCAGTTATATATATATATATATACAACTGCATCATTCCTCAAGAAGGACTCATGGAGCAGAACACTCACCAGACATGGAAAACAAAGACGGAGATTTGCCCCAAGACTAAACTATCCAAGGAATTAACAACAGTGTTAAGACAGATAGAGCTACATTGAGAAAAGTTGCTCAGATTTTGGCTCATGGAATACCCTGGTCATTTCACATAAAAACAGAGCCTGAAAATAAAAAGTGAGATGTTCATTCCTCCCACTCCCATTCTAAATACCCCTCTTAGAGACTCAAAATCCCACCAAGTGGCCATCTCCCATCTCTCCTCCATACTGTGAATTCTAGGATCCAACTGCCCTCAGGGAAAACCACTACAACCTGGGGCACAGACATAACGCATCCTGGAGGTAGTACATACAAAGAACTCAGGTCAGCCAGGCTCGGTGGCTCAGCCTGTAATCCCGCACTTTGGGAGGCTGAGGTGAGTGGATTGCCTGAGCCCGCAGGTTCAAGACCCACCTGGGTAACTTGGTGAGACCTCATCTCTACAATAAATAAAAAAATCAGCCGGGCATAGTAGCGCATGCCTATAATTCCGGCTACTCGGAAGGCTGAGGCGGAAGGATCACCGCAGCCCAGCAGGTCGAGACTGCAGTGGCCGGAAGCGACCACTGCACTCCAGTCTGGGTGACAGAATGAGACTTCAACTCAAAAAAAAAAAACAAAAAACAAAACAAACTCAGGTCTAGCATTTTCTACATAGCTCAAAAGAAATCCAGGCAGTGGCAGAAAGAGGAAGACAAAACTGCAGTAACAAGACGAGAACCAGACTCCTCCCCAGGAGGGGGTACTGGAATCAACTGGGAGTCTTTTAAAAATGTACATGTCTTGGTTCTTTCTTGGCAATTTTGATATGACCTGAGGGTAGGGGAGATTGAGTGATTCTGCAAAGCTCCCCAAGTGATTTGGCTATGCCTTGCTCTACCACATGTAAGTAAAACATAGAATGAATTGGGGGTTAGGTTGAAAGTGAGTCCCATCCTCTTTCACCGGGCTATCTGTGGCAAAGGGGCTCTGCCTACAAGCCACTGCCACCCATGAACCTTGGTCACTGACCTGAGTGCAGGAAACTCACCTGCTCCACCAGTCATGACACTTTTTGCTAAAATATTAAAATATCAGTTTAACTAAAAGATCAAATAAATGTCAATGTCAAAATGTGGGATGGGATGGTACAAAAATGATGTCAGGCTACCTCTGTTAAACATGTCGCAAAGCTGAATCCAATGTTAACAAATACTCTTATTAAAAATGTCATATTAAGTCTAACACTATAAAAACAACTTATCAGGTTGTTTCTTCTTTTTTTTTTTAGTTTAAGAAACACTACTGGAAAAGGTTAAAAAAATAAGGCCAGTCTGAGCTACCCCTGGTCAAAGTTAAAATTACTTGATGTTTATGGAAAGCAATTTGGCAATATCAAAAGTCTTGAAAATATGTGTCATAGAAATTATAGTTTCACAAATTTATCATAATGTGATCATGAATGTTCACAAATACTGGGCTGTAAGATGTTAATTATAGACTTATTGGTAATTTCAAAACATTGAATCATTCAGTAAAAGGGCTTGGTTAAATAAACTGCATTACATCCAAATAATGAAAAAGTCCTCAGTAATGAAACACAGTGCATATTACTGATATGAAAACATTTTCAAAGAAAATTCCCATGAAAGACAAGTCTTCTCAAGTAACACATAAAGCACAATACGATTTTTGTCAAAATATGTATAAATGTTAACATTAGTATATAAAGATGTATACACATGGAGTTTATATATTAGTGTGCATTTCTGCATATGTGTCCGTATTTTTTTTCAAGGAAAAAGTATTTGAAGTTACAAAATAACACCTGGTGATTTTTCTCCCTTTTTTAAGGTTGTGATTTATTTGTTTATTTATTTTAAAGATGTGGGGTACAAGTCAGGATTGGGCACGTAAATGGTTTATGTACAAGTGTGCCTGCTGATTTCTAATTGCCACGGCCAAAAATCTCATTCATGTAATTTATGATGGAGGTTAAAATGGAAAACCAATATTATACCTACAGAATTTGGTATTATCTGAAGGTCACTCAGAAACTTAATGCTGAGAAAGGTAAGAATAGAATGCAAGCAAAAACAAAAACAACAGATACTATTTAGGACAAGCTGTGTTCTGATTTGCAAACTGGAAAAAAAAAAAATCTAGGAGACAACCTGTTAGCATTCATAGCAAGATAGACCTTTTAAGAAAATATACATTGTGTTAGTCTCATCATGATTACATTTCAGGAGACTTTCAATTTGACTCTGATATAAAATTGATGCATGAAAGTAATCCACTCACTACCTCAATAATAAGATCCATACCACAGTTGCCATCTCCATTCAATTCAAACAAAATCTTAAGCATTTTCTGAAGTAGATTTAATCAAGTCTAGATGCATTCTGGGTTAACTACTCTTGGTTACACTTAATCAGAACTGAATAAACAAACTCAGTATTAGTCACACTTGTGCAAGTTATTCCGTTTCACTGCAGCCAGAAGAGATTTTCATGTGATTCTGTTGAAACCAGCTAAACATCTGGAAATGTGGAAACTATTCTGTAAAGTGCAAGAGGACCACACGCTCAGAGGAGACATCAGTTATGTGGCTGAGGTCAGACCCAGGGAGGCTGGAAGGGAAGAGCTTACTGTAGATAGCTTACTTACAATGAAGCCAAGTTTCTTATAATCCCGTGTGTACATGGACTTGCGTTTCTCCATGCTGCCACTGCTGTTATTAGGTTCAGACTCGGCATCAAAAGCAATTCTTCGAAGTTCAAATATGATGTCTCTCTGAGCCTGAAGGAGTTAGAGAGAGAAAAAAAAGGGAGGGGGGTGGAAAGTTGCTTTCATTGTGTGATGTTACATATATTCCCTCTTTCCTCAGGGTCTAAATGAATCACTGTATTCAGGCAAAAGATAAAACAGATAAAAGAGAACCAATGTTCTAAATTGGGGTTTTGCAGACTGCCCTTCCTCCTGTCAGTCTCCCTGCTGGTCAGCCTTGGCTATATTCCACAATGATCCTCTCAGCCAAGTCATCTGGAGAACTAATATCAACTGTCCAGTGCAGTCCAAAATATGGTGGAAGGGTTGTGATTGGAGAAAGCTAAGCTAGAGACGCTGAGGGTACTGTTAGAAAAAAAGTGAGAGGCACAAGGTTCATGCATGGCATTTGACTTACCAGGGATCCCTAAATCCACTAAGAAATGACTTCATGGAAACAAACAGAGGATAAAAAATTTTTTGAAAAGAGCCCCAACGAGGAAACAATCCAAGTGCCATCCACATGTGAATGGATGAACAATATGTGACATAGACATACAATGGCATATCATTCAACCTTAAAAAGGAAGAGAAGCTTGATAGATGCTACAATTTGCATGAACCTTGAAGTTACTATACTGAGTGAAATAAGCCAGTCACAAACAGATGAATATTGTCTGGTTCCACTTACATGAGGTACCCTGGAATAGTCAAATTCATAGAAAGTACAATGGTGGTTACCAGTAGCTGGGGGCGGGGGGGAGAGGTAAACAGGGAGATAGTGTTCAATGGATAGAGAGTTCCAGTCTTGCAAGATGGAAGTGTTCTGGAGGTAGATGGTGGTGATTGATGCTTTCACAGCAGTCTGAATGTACTTAATGCCACTAAACTGTACACTTAAAGTGGTTTAAATACTAGGTTTGCTGTTGTGCATATTTTACTACAGTAAAAAACTAGTAACTAAAAGGAAAGGTTTCCAAACATGGAGGGTCTTTCCATATTAGATGGAAGTCACTAGAAGTGGTAAGATGACAGTCTTATCTCCCAGGGATGCCTACACTCAGCCTTGCCAAAAACGTGGGGCACATTAGCTGGCCTCTCCAATCCCCTCCCTCACTCTTTTTCGCATGGCCTTGCGCCATGAATGAAGTGCTGTGGCAGCTACACACTACACATACGCAGTTCACATCTGCAACAGATCAGGCCCTCACGTGCCAATAATGAGTGTTTTCCTTTCCAAAGCTGCAGCACTGCTTAAGTTGAAAATGTGCTACAGCAGGGCTCCCAGCTGTTTCCTCTCACTCTACTCTCACACAGCAAAGTTCCCCAAAAGCCTTTTGAATGGAGGCATAACCTTTCATGCACACCCACTGGGACCCAGTAGAGAGTTACGGCATATAGCCAACCAACAAAAATACCAGCATAGAAAACAAGTTCAACCTGGGTTCCTGCTCTTGGCACTGATCGCTGGAGAACAAAAATTACTTCCTCAGCCTGCAGAACCAGTGCTACATAGAACTACCAAGTGACCGTAGTTGTCTGGGAACTTGATTACAAAGCAATTACCCCTGAAAGTATTGAAGTCAAGGTCCAAGGTCTGTGGCCACGTGACGGCAAGCTTTCTTACTCAAAAAAGGAAGAACATACATGTATTTGGGGCCTATTAGAAGAATTCATTTATTTTGTTTTCTGATCCCAGATTTACCTAAATTTTTAAGCCATGCTTCTGAGTTCTGAGGTGGTAATAAAACAATAATATCATCAAAACACTCTTGGTTTCAGAGTAGTTCAAGAAGAGACTTTAAATGACACTTTTCTCTCCCTCCTGTGATTGGTCTGCTGTCCAGTGAACACTCACCTGGTCCTGGGGGTCCATCTTGGTCATCATCCTGTCTTCCAGGAGGTTAAAAGTGAGCACTTGCAGAACATACAGCTGGTGCGCCATCTCATTGTTGATGGCCCGCTGGGCTCGGATGACATGCTGGGGAGATGGTTCACAAAAGAAATTAAGGAAAAACAGAAAGAAAAGCAAACAACCAAAGTTAACCCTCAAGCAGAACCTCAGCAGTCTTCATTTGGAGGCACAGGGCATGTCACCCTTCCAAAGAAAAGTAAGAGCACAGGTGATCTGGGAGCATTTCAGGGCCCAGTAAGGTTCCTGATCTTTAGGCCAGAATCCAGGAAAAGAGCTCCTGTGTGCAGGAAGGAGTCTTTGCAAGACAACTGTGATTTCTACAATGGAAGCACTCCTTGCATGCAGTAGAGGAACCAACTGTGGATACCTATGGTAAGCAATTTTGCCGTTATCTTACCCTAGGACTGCCTCTGACAGGTGATCCCATTTCTAAACATGGAAACGTTTTAGGAACAACACACACAAATGCAAAATATCCATCAATTTGTAGTTAATTCACTGTGGTAGCTAGACAAGGACCTCCACCATCGTAAAGCAGTGAGCAAATGCTTGTGCATTATTTTACTCACTTGTTAACAAATAAATGAAAAATAAAACAACAGAACTGAAAGCAGAACAAATATACGAGGAGTAGCAAGATGACTGGATATGTGGGCCATCCACCCTACCCCCCACCAGAGCTGGGTTTTGGACAGAAATGGGACAGCTCCCACCAATTCAGTACTTGGGCTTAACATACAGTCTCTTTGACAAAGACCCTGGCTGTACTTTAAACATGCCAAACAATGGGTCAATTTGGTCAAACAACCCTTCGAATCAGTTATTTGGAATGTGCTGGAACCAGCCATGTCTTGCTATTTGAGAGACCGTTTATCCGGGCATGCCAATAATGCCCCTGGGTAGACTGCTGCAAACTGACTTCGAAGTGGTCATTCAGCGAATGTCAGAGCTGCCCAGTGTGGAAAAAAAATATCTTACAGCCAGGACTAGAGGAAATCTAGGTCTTTAGGATGCTGCCTGGGTAGCACTTGGCCTGGCATGCCAGGAGCACCAGGCTGAAAAAGCCAATTGAAGGAGGGGTGAGAGAAGAATGAGGATCAGAAGAAAAAGGAAAGCCGGGCTCGGTGGCTCAGCCTGTAATCCCGCGCCTTTGGGAGGCTGAGGTGAGTGGATTGCCTGAGCCCGCGGGTCCAAGACCCGCCTGGGCAGTGAGACCTCATCTCTACAATAAAAAAAAAAAAAAAAAAACCAGCCGGGCACAGTAGCGCGTGCCTGTAATTCCGGCCACTCGGAAGGCTGAGGCGGAAGGATCGCCGGAGCCCAGCAGGTTGAGGCTGCGGTGGCCGAAAGCAGCCACTGCACTCCAGTCTGGGCGACAGAGTGAGACTCCAACTCAGAAAAAAAAAAAAAAGGACAGAGCGGGGTAAAAAAATACAAAGTTGTAGATCAACATTATGTGAAGGGGAGAAGCCAAACAACAGGATGGGTGGGGGGAATCAAATTCCATATACTTCAATCTTCAAAACGGAATAGTAACTCATGGTACACCCTTAGTATCCAAAGTGTATGGTACCTCCCTTACATGTATTAGCAACCCGGAAGTACAGCACTCCAAATTCTTACTGAAGAATACAAACTTTGAACTTCCAGCCATTAATGCCTCATAAAAGAAGTCCCACTGAAGCAAAATGATCTTTGAGACTGGGTGGCTGCAGTAATCAGTGCCACTCATTTTCCTGGGCATTCTAACTCCAACTGCCACAGCAAGGAAATATGAAGACACAGAACTAAACTTTAACACTGCAGCTTTTACTTTTATTGAGAGACAATACTATACAGAATGGCCATATTATGAATTCTTTCTGCTCTTCCTACAAATCCATAATTGGACTAGAATCTACTAGAATGCTCTACTAAGACCCATTTCAGATTTCAGTTCTGGGGAAAGTGTGTCATTCCCAAGTTTGGGGCACCTCTTCTTCTTATGCAATATAAAAATTACACTTATTTGTTCCTTCTTCATCCTTGACAGTCAGGAAGTTTAAAAAGTCAAAACTGATTACAAATTGCAGTCGTTATCATTGGCCTGGGGTTCTAGAATATATACTTCCTTTGCCCCAATATGATTTTTAACTTTTGATGGCTGTCTTGCACTAGAGAGAGGGTGTGTGTGTGTGTGTGTGTGTGTGTGTGTGTGTGTGTGTGTATCATGTGCTTCTTATATTTTGACATCGGGATCTTGCAGAGCATGGAGAGACTGCCCCTCTCAGGCCCAGCCAATTCCTAGAGATGATAAATGACTTCTTTCATTTCCAAACTAAACAGGAAGACCCCCAGCACCTACTCCCCACCTTCTCTGCCAGACTCTTACACTCTGGGCCACTATTCCCTTGCCCTAACCACCCAGGGTCAGGTACCAGACCAAGAGACAGTTCATAACCCCCCGAAACCAATAAAGTTTTCCAATTAGCCCATCCTAAACCTGCTTACCTGGCATCACCCACCCATTCTCTCAAAGGCCACAATAAAGGCTCTTGACCTGTTTCCCTCTGGCTCCCTTTACCTCCTGGCAGACCCTGGTGCTTGCCCTGTGACCACCCTCCTCCACCACCCAATGGCATGGCATGTCCCCTTCTTTGGGGAACTATAATTGACAAACTTTTCTTTTCAACTACAGCAGTCTCCCTGATCTATTGGCCTCACCATACTAAATAATAATAAAACTTACATTCTCAAACAGTGTGTGTGTATTTACTTGTAAGCTTGCTGAACACCTGTTTGGAATTACACAAACAGAAGAGTTTTCTTTTTCTTATTTTTCTTTTCTTGGTAAGCATATGAAATCAATCAAACTTGCATTTTTCCAAGTAACTGGTAAGGCCTCAGTTAATTTTGCTATTTGGCTTATTTCTTTTATTTATTTATTTATTTTGAGTTGGAGTCTCACTCTGTCTCCCAGACTGGGGTGCAGTGGCCGCTCCCGGCCACTGCAGACTCAACCTGCTGGCTCCAGCGATCCTTCCGCCTCAGCCTTCTGAGGAGCTGGAATTACAGGCATGCTACCACGCCCGGCTGATTTTTTGATTTATTGTAGAGATAAGGTTTCGCCAAGTTGCCCAGGGGGTCTCGAACCCGTGGGCTCAGGCAATCTACTCACCTCAGCCTCCCAAAGCACGGGATTACAGGCTGAGCCACTGAGCCCGGCCATTTGGCTTATTTCTAAACATCCACACTGTGACACTTTTCCACTGTGGTTTAAGTTCGTTTTTGCATTGCAGTGAGTGAGTGGTTCCCCTATATGTCCTTCCTTCCTTCTTCTTGCAAGCAGGTTCACAAAAATGATGGTCAAAACTTCAGGATTTCTCTCAGTAACTTATTTTTCCAGTCAGCATCATCATTTAAAAACAGCAAAAGCTCATATTGGTGGATTTTTTTAAGCCCTGATTTCCCTAGCCTGCCCTGCTGAGAGAGAGATTCATCCCTCCCTGCCACAATGTGTTCCCTTTCCTTTTTCTCCAGAACAGTTTCAGAAACCCCTCCTTCCAATGGGATGAGGCAATTCCTGTGGGAAAGCCTTATGTATTCCAGTTCCAAAAGCACACTTCTTCCTTCTTTATAGTTCTTACCGCTTTACCACAGAAGCAAGTCACAGAACAAACCACAGACTGAAGCCAAAAGAAGAGATGAATAAATACACGAGGCCACGCTTCCCCAACGAAGCAGTCACAGACATAGGTACTCACTGTTAAAATGATGGAACGCAGTTGCTTCTGAGCCAAAATATTTGCCATCTCCTGTTGAAGAAAAACACACCCACACAAAGGCTTAGGTTAGAAAGATACAATTCCACGTGGCCAAAAATGACTTTATCCTAGGGTGTGCTTCATAACTGTATATAAGCAGTATTTCTTATGAAGTAATGAACACAAACAGCAGTAGTATTCAAGTTATTTTTAACTATTCCTTTTGAGATTATAAAAGTCATGTCCAAAAGCAAAGAAAAGAAATCTGGCATCTGCGAACTTTTTTTTTTTTTTAAGGAATTTCCTCCTTCCAGCAAAAGGTGAATGCTGAATAAAAATCGAGCACACCAAACAAAAGCAAGGGCTCTCCACTGGAAAGGCTCGTTACCTTTTATTAGACTGAATAAGGCAGAAAGCTTTTACTAGGGCACACATGCCTGCAACAAGGAGATGCCAAGATTAGAGAATCATCACTTGAAAGATCTGTCTTCTGAAAGACATTTCATCTTAATCTGTGCAAAACCAAAGAGTGAGTAGGACACATCCCAGGGTTTGAAAATAGGCTACACGGGTGAACTGAGCAGAGTTTTAGCAAAGGACAAATGTTTGGGCAGATGCAAAGTTCTCGAGTCCACACTCAGTGTAGCTCACCGGGCTTCATTTCTGCAGGCTGTGCTTTGTGCTTTGGCATAGAAGACTCATGGGTAATTTTACTAAATGAAATGAGGCACAGACTCCTTGTCTAAGTACTGCTAACTAGACGCAAAAGGAAAATTAAATAGTCAAGCACAGTCTCGGTGTACACGCTCAATGGTGAAAATACTGCTCATATTCAGGAAGACACTTGCATGTTGTTTCTCGGGGGTATGTTTGGTGTTGCTGCTCTTACAGAGTAGAGAAGAAACTAAGCTACAATTTAAAAACACAACCATGAATTCTACCCAGGTTAAAACAAACTGGCAGAAAGCAAAGAGACCCAAGAACATGGTGGGGGAGGAACTACGAGAGGTTATACAAGCAGGGCTGGGCAGAAGCAGCACAGGAGAGCAGGGCCCACTTAAGCTGACACAGGGAATGCAGGTGACTTACAGTCAGAGGACAATCAAGGATGTCAACATTGCTCTCTACATCAACCTAACGGTGCCATCGCCACCACAGAAAGGAAAGCGAGCAGGAGAGAAGAAGGGATGGAAATTCAGAGGACTCTGTTAGAGGTTGACCGCTTTATTATTTAACGTCCCTGCTGACCCACTGGATTGAAAAGTGCATAAATACTGCCAGATGATTAAAAAAAGTTAGATGGCATTAAAGTCAAAATCCAATGCTAGAGCCTCTTCCACCCTCTTCTAAACTAGAAAGCAAGAGCAATGACACATTCAGAAACAAGTTAAATGGTAACCCAGAAGGAACTTTCCCTTCCTCCATGCATAGAAAGCAGTGTTTTCTTCCTGATCTAAATAGAAAGGTCCACTGGTTGGTGGTTTCCTTCTTTTTTTCTGGGACCAGATAATAAATAAAGGGACCAAAAAATCCAATTGCTCTAGGGGGCGGGGGTACATAACAACACAAAGGATACCTGGTCCTAAACCAGGGGAAACGAGAACCAGTTGGAGGCCCAAACTTCACTTGCACATAGATTACTTAAGTACCTTATCCTGACTTGTACCCCACATCTCTACAATAAAATCAAATTTTAAAAAAAAACTGCCTCATAGACACACAAAAAAAGAAAAAAATATTATTCCCTGTGCCTGTTTTAGCCTATATGTTTATAAGACTTGGAAGTAAGTTAGAATGGACAATATATATCCGACTTCTAGAGCAATTATTACTATCTGTTTACAATATTTACCTTCTACATAAGACTATGAACTCTTCGGGGCACAGAGACTGTCTTACTCTTCTTTGTATTCCAAGTCCAAAGCATAATGTTTGACACAGAGCAGACAATAAATGTTTGATAAAAAACAAATGAGTATTTTATACTACCATCTCGAGGTACAGGAACTTGGTCAGAAGAGTACATAGAAATATCCTTGTCCACATCATGGATTTTTGTGCCTAATATTAGGGAATTGTTAGAGTAAGCATGAGACTCCATGGGGAATATATCATAGCCTTAAGTGATACAAAAGTATAGACAGATATAAATGTGGATCTAGATATACTGACATGGAAAGATGTCCACAAAATACTTTTTCTTTTTTGAGTTGGAGTCTCACTCTGTCATCCAGGCTAGAGTGCAGTGGCATGCTCATGGTCACTGCAGCCTCAACCTGCTGGGCTCAGGCAAGCCTTCCGCCTCAGCCTTCCAAGATGCCAGAACTACAGGTGCACACTACCACACCGGACTAAGTTTTGATTTATTGTAGGAGGAGGTCTCGCCAAATTGCACGGGCTGGTCTCAAACCTGGCAATTCACTCGCCTCTGCCCCCAAAGTGGCTGAGCCACCAAGTCCAGCCTATTTTTCATTTTAAAAATAGTAAAACAACAACAACAACAAAAATCCAGTGAGTGTCGTATGGTCACATTTGGTGAAAAAAATGATACATGTGGGAGGTAATTTGCATAGAACAAAGCAGGAAGTAGTACCATGAAATTTACAAGAGTTTTGAGTAATTGCAGTGGTTCTTTCTCTGGGAATGCAGTTACAGGAATGTTTCAAAAAGTTTTCTTTTGAATGTGTATTTTCTGATTTTTTTACCAAATCTTTTAACAAGTTTTTTTTTTTTAATAATGCTTATTAAAACTATTTGTCGCGAAATTTGAAAGGGATCTCGCCTACGTATTTGCCATTGATATAGTAGACTGAATAATGGCAAATAGTTGTAAGAAAAAGGGCCTATACGCACACCTAGCAGCAACCCTCTCTCACACAAAACGAAAGCACCCCTACCCTTCATTTGCACAGGGAAAGAGAGAAGGCATGGGAAAGCATGGCCTCTACCCCTGAGGGAACCCAGGGAAGTCTCCCCAGAGAAGGAAGTTATACCACAGGCTCTGCACAGGGTTCACTCAGTCAGTCCTACTCTACTAATGAAAAGGAAAAAATGACGCAGGTCCATCTGACTGATGGTATTTTTTTCAGTAAAAGTAGAAATAAGGTATAAGTGTTTAAAAGCATTCCAAATTCATTATATACATTTTGCAAAGCAAGGAAAATCCAGAGAATGAGTCCTATGAATATTTCTGTCCCCAAGTTAGAAAGAGAAGCTGAAATAAATATTTGAAATGGAATTTATCCAATGTCCTAATGCTTTAAACAAACAAAACAACAAAAAAAAGTGTTCCTGCAAACCTAATAAAAAAATGTTTACACTATATTTTAATCTAATTGGAGTGAAAAAATGGGCGTGGATCCTTTAGGTTTCAGGTAATTTATTTTTTAAACTCTGTTTTTGTTTTTTAGAGCTGGGATCTTGCTATGTTGCCCAGGCTGGTCTCAAAACTTCTGGGCTCAAGTGATCCTCTTGTTCCAGCCTTCCAAAGTGCTGGGATTACAGGCATGAGCCACTGCACCTGGCCTCAGAGGCAAATACAAGTGAATTCTGTGGGCGATACCTCCTTGACTGGCCTTTCATTGGAAGTTTTGCTGGCAAAGCAGGGATGGGGTTGGGATTCCAACTCTGATTCTTACCAGTTCAGCAACCTTGTCAAATTTTTTATGCCCTTTGAGTCTCAATGTCTCGATTTGTAAAACAAAAAATAATATGGCTTTCTCTTAATATGAGAATAAAATAAATAACAAAATATAAAACACTGAACACTGTTCCTGGCGCATGGCAGACTCTCAATAATACTACCTTTGATGACAGTTTTCAGGAAATTTTCCTATTGGTCAAAAAATTTAGAACTTTCAATTTTTCATAACATGTGCCAATAGCAATGTCAATGTCAAATGTAGACTTTATCTATAATGTGGAGTCCAGACTAAGGTGAACACTCTCGACTGTTAACATAATCCACAGTAATCCAGGAGATAATACCAATTATCTTAATCTTCTGCATTATAGTCTTCTACTGACCTTCAGAAAATGATATCAAACAAGCTTTTCTTCATTATGAACTTGAAATCATTTTTTTGAGCTTAACTTTCTTGTAGCTCACTGAGAAATTTTTTAAGTTTTAAAACCATAATATTCCCTTTGTTCTGACAAACAACTGTCTTAAATTCAATTTAGTTTACAAAGCCCATGTCAATTTCCATGGGCAAGTACATACCTTGTACCTATTTTTATCTCAGAGACTGAATGAGTCATAATAACACATTGTAAATTTCTACTGGATTTATATATATTCTTTCTTAGTTGGATTTGTTTTTTAAAATGTTGTAAGGTTATTAGGCTACTCTTTGTGGTGGTTTATTACTCCATGAGGTTTATTATAGCAATATGGCCAAACTGTTTCCTGTCAGTCTCACAGTCTATGAGTTTCAAAAAATGTTAGATTCACAGAATACAAACCTAATCTTATATTGGCATTCCATTATACTCTCACTGTTATGAATGTCCTGAAGTTAGTATAGATAGATACCTGATTCTCTATTTGTCCATGGTCATGACAGTCCAATCCAACAAGTTACCAGCAGTGTTCTGTATAAAGTAGGATGCAAAGGGTATGCATCTTACTCATGTCTAGACCAGATATTCAAGTGAAACCACACTCCTTGGGGGCAGGTATGAAATTTAACTTCCTGTAATTCAACTCTTCTTTCACAGATAGGGAAAGGAAACTTCCAAGAGTTGAGACCAGAATGCAGCCTTCCTGACTCCATACTCCACACTGAGTTACCCTGTGGTTTGGCAAGAAGTCCTTGGTCTGGCCAGTAGAAGGATCTACCTCCTTCAATGCTCAGTCAAGCTTGTGGATGAACACAGCGAAAGCTGCCCAGCAATTTCCTGGGCTCTTTCATGCTATCATGAGCTCACTATTTAGATAAAAGTACCAAAGGAGCAGCCCTACCTGTAATCCCACCTTAGATTGACAAATCCACCTTTAAAAATTCAGCCTGGGTAAGAGTACCCCAGCACAGGCTCTCGAAGGACAGGCACCAGTCAACACCAAACTATATGTAGGAAACTATAAAGTGATACCACTCCATAATATGTCCATGTAACAAATATGCATGTGTACCACCTTAGTCCAAAATAAATTTTTTTTTAAAGTGATACTCTTTGAACAAAGCCGCCCCCCCCCCACCCCCGGAAAGAATAAGCAATTCTAAATGGAAAACAAGCCAGAATTCCTCACATTTAGTCACTGAGGCTTCAAATCCTTGGCAACCAAAAATAAAATAAAATTCTTCACACATCATTCAGTAGCAGGTTATCTTTCTAAATTCTTCTAAAGCATATCTTTGGTACCTACCATTGAGTTCCACAACACCTTTTCTAAATGGTTGAAAGAGTTCCCATTTCCACCCGGTTTTTAAAAGAAATGAATTGTGACCAGGGTAACATATTATATGGTAGGCTGATAGAAAAAAACATGAATGAATTTTGAGGTATGAGTTAAATTCCAAAACAAGGTGAAATTCCACTTCTTCCACATCCCCCTCTGTAATGGTCCTTTCCCTAGTTAAGAAAGAAACAAAGGAGCTACAGACAAAGGAGACTACAAAGGATCATTTGCATCTATGTACACTTGAGGGGCTCCCTCCCTCTTTTTATACAGAGGAGGGAAAATGGATTGCTCAGGTCTCCCAGCCACATCCACACACAGATAGAAGTAGTCTCGCCAAGCAAAGAAGCCCCCTGGCATGTGACTGTGGCTCTCTCCACCAGAAGATGCACCTACGTTACCTTCCCTCCTGTCCGCTCACCTTTCATCTCTACCCTTCCTAGGCAAAACAGCCATCTCTCAGTGTCTCAGTTTCCTAATCCAAAAAATGGAGACAACACTCCCCATGCCCTAAAAATGGAGACAACACTTCCCATGCCCTAAGGGATGATGGGAAAATTACAGGGGGTTCTGACTCTGCTTTTACCACCAGTAATATTTTCATCTCTTTATTATGCCCAGGCTTCTATGATGCATTTCATTTCATGAAAAGCCTCTACTGCTGGTACTCTTGCGCATTCTTCATCAAGCAAGGGCTTACTCATCTCCACCCACTTGTCCCTGGATTTGGGAAGGACCCCAGCTGGCCAAGCTGTGGAACATAGCTGCTTCGAACCACCCATTTGTGGCCTGAGCGCAGAGAGGCCCAAGAGGTCTCTCAGATGGACAAAAAGTTCCCAGCCCTGGATACAATGCTAAGACTAAGGAAATGCAACTTACCTGCCTCCTTTCATCAGGGGCTTTCAAAAAAAGTGCATTAATCACTGCAATGGTATAGGTTTGGATTTCTTGTTCTGTCCTGTAAAGCACAGAATGATACAGAAACTCAGAAGAGGCTAGCCCTGAGTCAGACCATAACAAGACTCAAAATCAACCCCCGCCCACCATAATACATATGTGTGTGTGTGTCTGTGTGTGTGTCTCCAAAAACCCTGGAACTATTTTGGAGGGCAGGCCCCTTAGTACATTCAGAATTTGTCCCTCTGTATAAAATGGTTAACCAAAGTTTTCATCTGGAAGTTTTGAGAAAGTCGTGTCACAATTTGCAGAAGAAATGTCCCCAGTTGTGGCAAACAGGTGACTGGTTCTTCCACTCCGACAACGTACCTGCCCACACTGCACTGAATGTTCAGCAGTTTTTGACCAAAAGTGGCATGATCCCCATGCCCCACCTGCCCTATTCACCCAATCTCACCCGGAACAACCTTTTTTTGTTTCCCCAGATGAAAAAAGTCCTCAGAGAGAAACATTTTGCCAATGTGGAAGAAGTGAAACAAAAACTGGCAGAAGCACTAAAAGGCATCAAAATTGACGCACTCAAAAACTGTTTTGAGCAGTAGAAAAAGCATTTTGATAGGTGTCTTGCATCAAACAAAGAGTATTTTGAAGGTGACAAGTTTAAACATGTAAGAATAAATACACAACTTTTTTTGAGTTGGAGTCTCACTCTGCTGCCCAGGCTGGAGTGCACTGGCATGCTCATGGCCACCCCAATGTTGACCTGCTAGGCTCCAACAATCTTCTGCCTCAGCCTTCCAAGGAGCCGGTACCACAGGCGTGCACTACCGAGCCCGGCTAGTTTTTTATTTATTGTAGAGATAAGGTCTCGCCAAGTTGCCCGGGCTGGTCTCGAACCCGTGGGCTCAGGCAATCCACTCACCTCGACCTCCCAAATTGCTGGGATTATAGGCTGAGCCACTGAGCCCAGTCAATACACAATTTTTTATAAATAATTCCATTTTTGGGGAGTTTCCCCTCATATATATATATATGGAGAAAGAAAGTCAGAGTCTAGAAATGCATTTGGCCGTGAGAATGTATTTCAACCATTCTACAATGCGAGAAGCACAGTAGACATATGTACAGTTACTATCACTAGCTGGAGAGTACACTGCTCCGTGGAGATCACTGAGACATACAGGCAGCCTGCTGCTCTATTAGGATTAAAAGCACGAACTCAGGGGATGCAGCAGTAGTAACAGTAGTGTGTGTGTGTGTGTGTGTGTATGTGTGTGTGTGTGTGTGTAATTTCCTGTCTGATGCATGTATATAACAGGGAGTAGTTTTTGGATGCCCCCATGTTCCTGAGCTAATTTAAAGGAAATTGCTTTGTCTCCATGGCTATATTACATATTCTAAAAATCTATTTCCGAATAGAAACTTTTTAATAAAAAAAGAAAAAGTTTATGTCTATAATTTGCTTCTCACTGGAAAGAAATCAGAAATTCTAAGTGAAGCAAAGACTTAATATAAGCCACATGGTAAATAGTAAATAGGAAAGGCACAAGGAATAAACAAAGAATGGTTTCTAATCTGCATTTAGGGATAATTTATCAAGCCAGTTAGGGAGAGGTAGAGCTTAGAACTAGGCCTTTGGCCAGATGGGATGCAAATCCTAGTTCATCACCCGCTGGCTGTGTGACCTTGTGCAAGTTCATGGGTATCCCCAAGGTACAGTTTCCTCATCTGAAACATGGAGTAAGACACACCCATTTTACAGGGTTACTGTGAAGATAAAATGAGATTATGCATATAAAATCCTTAGCATAGTGCTTGCAGAATAAACTCTCTACTTTGGCAAGTGCTTTATGAATGAACATGTGCACCCTTGAGGCTCAGAGAAAAGATATAGATTCATTTCACATTCAGGAAAATGTGAAACTGGCTTTATTTCTAGAGAAGTTACACTCAAAAGCATAATTTCGGAGAATGTGTTAATTTTCACTGAGGCTACAATAACTGAAGCTACAATCTACAGCTTATGTAACATATTTTAAATTCTGGCCATTCTCATTCTTCCAAATGAAGGAACCATCCAACAGACTTTGGTAGTTGAAATTATAAACAAACAGTTAACTTTTCAAAGAACCACTCCCACCCTGGACCACCAACACAAATGGGCTGATCAGGTGTCCTCCTGATAATTTGCAAATGTGACTCAAGTGACCAGGAGTGAGAGCTGTTGGGTACTGGGTCACATTAGTGCCAGCCAATACCCTCAAGAAAGGCCAGTTTCTGCGGACTCCCAGGAAGCTATAGTTTCTCTCTTTCCCAAGACTCAAATCCTTTTGCCATTTCTGGATTCTGCAATGTACCCCAGTATCCTTCCAGTAACCCCTTTTCCTGTGTAAGCTCATTCACAATGTTTGTTGCCACCTGAAACAAAAATACTCTAATTTGTAAAGTAGCACTGTACAATGGATTCCTTCTCAGGTTGGTATCATCAGAGACCACCTTCCTAGTTACCTAAGGGAGGAAAGAAGGGGAAACAGTCCCAAAGACTGCAGGCTGTAGGGACAGCCATCTTACTTCCAAGCTCAAGCCACTAGAAAAAAAATACATATATAATAAAATTTTTTTAAAAGGTTATTACAATCACCTTGAGCCTAGCTAAGAAAGAAGTCTGCCTTTAAAAATTCCTAGTAAAAAAATGCCTTACGCAAAATTTCTAACTATGAAAATGCTCATTATGTCACAGAAAACTATCTATGTGGTTAAGACTCCACTGAGAACTTAAGAGAATAAATCATCCTATTTTGTCTTATTAAAAGCAAAACTCTACCAACATCTACCGGCATTCATTAAAACTGAGAGCCCACTAAGGCCCAGGCACTGGGAACAGTCTCTGACAAGAAGAGATGTGGAGCTCACCAAAGGGTGGAGATTGTGGGAAGTGACTATGCCATCTGAATGTGACACATGGTTTGGTTATATAACAAATAAAGATTCTTTTTCTGTACCTCTAATGGAACCAAGACAAAATATTTTCCAGGGCATTATTGTAGCCACTTTCCTAAACATTTCCCCTCCCCAGAGCACTTATAGCACACTTACCCTTGAAGATGTGGAATGAGTTGGCCAATGGTGATCTCTTGTGCCACCTTCTGGTAGAGGTCATGACTATTGAGCACCATGGACTCCAAAATGGCCAAGGACCGCTGCAGGATCGAGACGTCTATGGCTGACTTGTTCACAAAACTTGCTATCTGAAAATCCGAGCAGAACACAATTGCATGTGGCAAGCACAGCAGAGAAGTGGAAAAAGGAAGGATCATATAAAGTCAATTAGGAACACATTTAAGAAACACCATCCATTGAGGATTACCTGGAATTACAGCACAATAGTAAGAAACCCATTAAGCCAATGATTGTTTACATCATCCTGACAAAGCACGATTTACCTTATCTCTATAATTCAATAAAAAGCAATTTTGTAACAAAGAGATAGTTTCAAAGAATTATTCTTTCTGATTTTCCCCAGGATTATTCTTCAGAGTTTCAGCTTTTAGGGACAGACGATATCAATGCATATCTTTTAAGGATTCCTATGTTTCTCTGAGACAGTAATTTCAGCATATACTAACAGCCATTCCTCTTCCATTCCCAGGCTACTCCTTCATCCACATGATCCGTAACTTTTATGTACTTATGCTCCTGTTGCGTTCTTAAGGGACTCACACAAATCACACTTGTCAACACAATTCAACTGGCAACTTTTCAGTCACTGGCCACTCTGCTATTCCTACACAAAACCCTCCAAATTTCTCATGGTTAAAATAACTTGTCATCTCTCTCAAATTTAACAAAAAGAAATTATTTAGATCAGCAACACTAAAAGTTAAAATGCGGGGTTAAGCTCTAAAATATATTCTCTAAGAAATTAATCACCAAAGCCCCAAACATAATAAATCACAATGTAAGAAGGAAACAAAATAGGGGCTAGAATAACGAATCATGGCGATCCAAACACATGGGTACCATAAAGGTTTTATTTTAGGGGCCTCATTAAAAGTTATTACTGTCTGTTGATAATTCACAGTATAGGGCCATTACTATATCAGCATAATGACTGCTTTCTTAAAGGCTAAATAACTTGGTTCCATGGCAAGTAAACACTTACTGCTTCCTCTGTCGACATCAGTGTCTCCCTTTCTGCTGTCCCATCTACCCCTTCTCATTCCCTCTCCATCCTTGTACATGATAAAATGCAAACGTACCCCTGGCAATTCTCTTAACATCCTGACTGTCTTCAGTCCATTGACTCTCTGGTGGGGCGAGAGGTGCAGATACTAACCCCCTGCCTGCTCCAGACACATACGGATCTCAGGGGGTAGGAAATAAATAATGTGAGAGGTACAATGACACTAAGGTTTTGCATTCCAAAAAAGCTCTCCTTTTATAACACAAGCTGCAGGAAGAGTATGGGAATTTTAAGATTCTCAAAAGGCTGTTTTAGCTCATCTCACGGCTAATAAACTTCTCCAATGTGTTTACTATCTTTGGCAAGCCCTCTGCCTTCATCCTCACAGTCTACTCCAATCTACAAATTCTACTATGGTAAGGCCACCCCTTTTAACTTTAGGGTCATCTTCCTCTGACAAAAATCCAATTATGTCCACACTGTGTTCATGGCTTAATACTTAACTTAGACCTCTTCTAAATAGGGTATCAAATCCTCAACTTCCCTACCACCACCCCATCCCCTCCACCACTTTTCATGGTCTCAGAACAATTCTTGGCACTGGTATTAAGAAACCAAAGAACTTATAAAGAAGTCAATTGACGTTACTTTGGATTTTCTCACCACTAATCTCATTCCAGGCTTCCCAGCTTGTCTCTATTTATTAATTTTGGACATGCCTAAGACTCATACTCCTTGAGTCCTCCAACTAAGAACCTGTTGCTGATATTGTGAAACTCCCTTCACAACCCCCACCTTAAACACCTCTTTTCATTCAGTTAATATTTACTTATTCATTAATTGATTCATTCAAGTAATATGCATTGCATGTGTGCCATACAACAAGCTTGTACTGTCCCATAGATCTGGAAATGCAAAGATGAACAAACTTCAAAAACCTTACAGTCTAGCAAGTAGAGAAAGATAAAAAGGCATTTGATATGAAGTGCATTAAGTGCTTATACTTGGCATCCAACAGGGATGACACTACTTGAATATTCCAACAAAGGCTAAAATTAAATAGGATAAAAATCAATCTCATTGTCTTTTTATTCCCCCTTTTCCAATTATCACCTTTTTTTTCAAGTATCCATAATCATCAGTGATTCATATTCCCAGTTCTCTATTCTATATACCTATGAATATGTTTAAGATGTCTCCCTTTAGTTATATAGGGTATACACACAACACTAGCCCACTGGTCCAATCACTGCTGGGTTACTAAGACACTATCTTCTTTAGTTATTCCTACATTCAAGTTTTCCATCAAGTGGATATCCATCTTCTACTTCCATAAATATCCTTCTGACAATATTCCCTTTCTCAAAATATTCAGTCAGAATCCTCAATGTTTTCTTGGTATGAAGTGTACCTTTGTATAATAAGTTTTAAAGTTCTTTTAAAAAACCATTAACTTGCTCATTGGTGATAAAATAATTTGTGGTTTTTGCTTTAATTCAAGCATACTTATACCTCACATACATATTCCATTTCCATTTGCTATTTCTATATATTTCTCTCTCGTGAAACTAATACGTTACTTTCATGAATGTGTTCTTTACAATTTATTTTTTTTCTATTAATTTGCCTCTTGCTTCACATATAGATGCCATAATCTTAGCAATCCTAACATGTTACATAATAAGCATTTTGTATAACACACCTAGCTGAGTCCCTGGCTGGAGGAGAATGTGTACTCAATTCATTAGAGTCTTATGTACAATTCTGGAGAAGATATTAGTCATTTTTTGGAACCATTTCTGTCTTTTGTCATATTTGTCAGTAGTTTTAAACAGACATTTAGACGACCTAATATTTTCACATAATAAATATTCACAACCAGGGAATCGGGGCTGATCCAAATGAATGTAATAAGTGTCTTCCTCAAAATCAATTCCTTATTTAGCTAATGTACAAATTAGTGAATGGACAAATGTTATTCTCAATGTCTGGTGTGACAACTATAGATCTTAGTTTAGATATAGAAGGCTATAGCTTGCCTAGTTAAATTTTAATTCCCTTTATCCCTCAAAAGATTAATGATTCCCTTTGCCTTTCAATTTCTCCCAGTCCTGTTTCTGCATGTTTGATTGACACAGGTGAATGAGCCTAAGCCAGCCACAGTACAACTTCTTGGAAGTAGGCCCATACATACGGAAGAAGAGGTAAGAGGAATTAGTAATAAGTATATATAAGGGGACCCAAAAAAACCAGAATTATTTTTTTAAAGGGCAGGCTTCTTGTAGACCAGGCTTCCCCCACCAGGTAACTGTTCTAGGAACCCACAGGCATCAGTGTACCAGCTAGCATTGTTGTGAGAGGCTACGTTCAGCTTCAGTGAATTTTTTTTAAAGATTATTTCAATGCATTTACCCATTTCATGATGGGTAATTTGTGAGCACACCTGCCTACATGCACCGAGTATTCAGAAGTTTTTGACCAAAAAGAGCATAACCCCTGTGCCCCACCCTCCCTATTCATGCAATCTCACCCTGAGCAACTTTTTTTGTTTGTTTGTTTGTTTCTCTTTTTTTGAAAAATGCCATCAAAGGGAAATAGTTTGCCAGTGTGGAAGAGGTGAAACAAAAAACAGTAGAAGCACTAAAAGGCACAAAACTGACGAGTTCAAAAACTGTTTTGAGTAGTGGAAAAAGTGTCTCAATAGGTGTATTGCATTAAATGGAGAGTACTTTGAAGGTGGCTAAAGTTTAAACATATAAGAATAAATACACACTTTTTAATAAATAAATTCTGAGTTTATTGGGTCCCTCCCTTGTATACTAACTCCTCATGCTATTCATTCATAGAGAAATATTTGGGTAACTTAAGATGCTAAGGGAATGATGCATGACTCAATGACCCAATAAACACTTTTTAGAATAACGTATAACATAATCTTAAAGTTCTCCTACATTATCAAAACCTGAAAGAACCAATGAGAGCATAAAGTTCCACCCCTATATCTCAAATTATCTAGAGACCTGTAAATCTCTCAAGTTTTTAAGAGGCAAAAATTATTGAATCTCTAAACCAAAATGGCGGGATGTTTGTCCAGGCACTGAATACATTTGCAGAATGAGTCAGGTTCTCCTGTACAGCTAAGGTTTCAAGAGCATTTATATAAAAATTTCCTTCCAAAAGAAGGCACCAATGTTATGCTTGGCTAGAGAAAAACCAACTCCTACCACAGAAAGTTCTTTTTCTCCCCTCTTTCTTTCTTCTCCATGTTTTCTTACCCTCTCCCTAAGTAGCCAAATCCTTAAAAAGCAACAATGTTATATACTGGCGTCAAGGAATTCTAAGTCTCAGAGTTTTTATGAAATGTTATTTACTGCAGCCAAAATTTGTAAACTAGAATCAAGATTCACACATAACAGAACAGATAAAGTAATGGAGGAGACAGAGGCTGGCAGAGAAAAAATATTTCTCCAAAGTGGTATGAATTTGGCATTAATAGCAAGCCAACTCTAGACCACTGAGACTAGGCATCTTTTGTCAGCCAGTTTCCTAGTTGATTTTTGTCCAGATAAAGCTCCATTTAAAAGACAGTTGCCTGCATACAATTCCTGAGTTGTCAAAGTGCTGAATGTGGTCCAGCTAATGAATAAGAAAGTTAACCTTACAGAAAATTAAGTAATGTTCTGATGGTTAGTCTTCAAATTCATATACGGGATCTCCAAGTAGCAATGCAAAAGGAATACAATGACTGGGAAGGAGGACATGGTATATATTGATAGTGTTGCTTTTAAGAAATATATTTAATCCTCTAATTAAACTGCCAAGACTAATAGTCTATGCTTTTTTAGCTTTAATATGATTTTTTAACTTAATTTAATTTCAGTGACTGAAAACCATTTTCTTAAGTATTTAGAAAATTGTCATTCTCTCTGACCACTACTCACATCATTTAAATAAACAAAGCTTTGTAATTTCTTTTCACTCCTAACTGAAATTTTACTTAAAACATATTTAAATATAGTATCACTTTATTCCTTCTCTTCTACAAGTTTCATCAGGTTTTTGTTGTTGTTGTTAATATTTCTAAACAAATTTTATTCATTCATCTCACAGAAATATATTAAGATCTTACTCTGTGCCAGACCCAGAGGATAAAGTTATGAAGAAAGCTGTGTTTCTGCCCTTGTGGACTAATGATCTATTGGGAAAAACAGTCAAATGAACAAAAAATTCACAGAAATGTGGTAAGTGCTGGGACAGGGACATGCAGGAGTTCTTGGGGGAACAGAAAGCAGAAGCAATCACTTAACTCTACCAGTATGGTCAGAGAGGATGACGTAAAAGACAATGCTGGTTAAACAAGGCTCTGGATCTACTCTTTCCACCACTTGGAAAGCACAGGTGCATGACGACGGGGGAAAGAGCCCTGAACCATGTGACCAGGACGCCCACTCACTATGTGACCTCATTCAACCTCAGCGAGCCACTGCATCCTCCTCCCTTCTTAACCAGCAATAACAAGACTATCTGTTCTGTTCTGGAAAGGATTGCTGTGGGGAATCAAAAGAGCTAATGTTGGTGAAAGTACAACATAATTTCAAGGAATTCACATTCAATACAACATTGTTACGTTCTACAGCAAAAGAGTCTCTTATCACAGACAAGCAGGGCAATTTGGATATAGAAAAGAAGGCTGGCTGTCAATTCAGAAAGAGTTAACATTTTGTGAATTATTTAAAAAATCCACAAAATCCAGTATCTTCAGATCTGAACTTGCTTTTCTAAAACTGGTCTGAGGGAGACAGAAATCAGCAACGTACCTTCTGCTCTCATAATCTAGTGCTGATACTCCCTGACACCACCAAAGGAAGGTACTTTATCATGCAGCAGAGTTTCTTTGGCCTTTTCATCTATAACAGTTTCTTTTCTTTTCAGCAATTCATTCCACTGACAAATATAGGCAAAAAGAGGCCTCCTCTTTTTTTGTGTGTTTTCTACATAATTCTTTTTTCTCATCCCCTTTTACTTTACGGACTAACATAAGGCAAAAGGATTCAGAAGTGTGATGAGAAGACTCTGGGTTTCCAATCAGCTCTTGTCTTAAATGAATATGCAACATAGTGCAGGCATTCAACCAGTGGGGTCTTCTAGCCCAGCCCCCTCATTCGACAGATGAGGGCTGTCCTATGAGTGTCAAGGCAAGGTGGCTTCTCCCCCAAGATACTGATTAATTTCCAAAGGAAAAGTAGTACCTTCACAGCGGGGAGACCCAACAGACATCACCTGAACCCAGCAATCAAGGATAGCATCATCATTAAGAGGATATATGGATGCCATGCACCCAGATAATATGCACTGAGAAGGATGCTCCGTTACTTCCATAGTATTCTTGATGAAAATGCATAACCTTCCTTAATTTAACCATGAAGGAAATGTCAGACACAGCCCAATTGAGAAACATTCTATAAAATGGCTGGTACCTTTGAAAAGCGTCAAAATCATAAATGACGATGAAAAACTGAGAAACTATCACAGACTTGATGACAATAAGGAAGCATAATAACCAAATGCAGTGTGGGATCCTGCATCAGATCTTTAATCAGAGATACACATTAGTAGAAAACAGATGAAATTAGATACGGGTATTGCACAAACACTCATTTAGTAGTTTGATAACTGTACTGTCATCATACAAAATGTTAGCATTACGGGAAACTGGATGAAGGGTAGACAACATTCTGTGCCAATGTTTGCAACTTTCCTTTAGTCTACCACTATTTCAAAATAAAAGGTTTAAAAGTTCAAGTGACTCTTACTCGATTTTGCTCTGGCTTACACAGACTCACTGAAAGTACTTATTTTTAGATAACCCTTCCCAGTAATCTATACTTACAAAATGAAGTTGTCAATTTCAAACATATCTTTAATCTTTATATAACAGTGGGGAAGGGGATGCCAACAAATGTATAAACCATTTCACAAATACAAAGAGAAAAAATGAGTTAATAAATAATAATCATCCATGATTTAATCTACATTTAAGAGGCAGCCGGGCTCGGTGGCTCAGCCTGTAATCCCAGCACCTTGGGAGGCCGAGGCAAGTGGACTGCCTGAGCTCGTGGGTTCGAGACCAGCACGAACAACTTGGCAAGACCTCATTTCTACAATAAATCAAAAATTAGCCAGGCCTGGTAGCATGCGCCTGTAGTTCCGGCTCCTTGGAAGGTTGAGGTGGAAGGATTGCTAGAGCCCGGCCGGTCAGCGCTGGGGTGGCCATGAGTGTGCCATTGCGCTCCTGCCTGGGCGACAGAGTGAGATTCCAACTCAAAAAAAAGAAATCACAGATCAGGATTATTTATTTTTTTGTCAGAAGAATGAAAACAGAATTGGAAGTTTATTATGTCTCAACTGCAGTGGTAGTGGTGTCGGGGAGGGGGGCTTTTCTGCTCTCTTTCCCCACATCAGGCCCACCTTTATTAGCTTCCTCCCAAAGGAGGAATGAGCAGAACTGATTGATGCATGAGACAGTCATCACCTCATGATTACGAGTAAGCAGGCTCCCTCCGCCCAAGACACACAGACCCAAGCACGCATCCTTCTCAGGCATCCCTGCTTCAAACCTAGACATGCAGGCATTCAGGAGACTTTGCCTCTTTCCCTTCCCCTGAACACCAGGTTGAGAACAAACACTTCAAGAAGGATTAGCAGGAACTCTGCTCAGGTCTTGAGAACAACAAAGTGGGGCCAGGAAATCAGCAGATGCTTGTGCAGTTACTCACAACATCACACATGGATCTTCCCTCAGCTATGGGCTCTCACGTGCAATCCCTTATAATCCCTGTAGCAACAGAATATCATTTTCATATACAATTTGGGTGCACTGACTCCCACATACATAATACTACCAAAAACCACAGCCACCTTTTAACATAAAAAAAAGAAACATAGCCGGGCTCGGTGACTCAGCCTGTAATCCCGTGCCTTTGGGAGGCTGAGGTGAGTGGATTGCCTGAGCCTGCGGGTTCGAGACCCACCTGGGCAGTGAGACATCATCTCTACAATAAATCAAAAAAAAAAAAAAAATCAGCCAGGCGTGGTAGTGCATGCCTGTAATTCTGGCTACTCGGAAGGCTAAGGCGGAAGGATCACCGGAGCCCAGCAGGTTGAGGCCGCGGTGGCTGGGAGCGGCCACTGCACTCCAGTCTGGGTGACAGAGTGAGACTCCAACTCAAAAAAAAAAAAAGAAACACAAATATAAAATATCCTCAAAGCAGAGAAAAAAAATCTATGTAATAAGAAAATATGGGAAGCCGACAATCCACATTACCTTTTTAATGAACGCCACTGAAAATGTATCCCAGGACACAATGCCATGGTCCATCAGCTCAACAAAGGCTGTCAGGGTGAAGGACAGCATGTCTCCGAAGCTGCAAAACACAGGGAGGCACAAAAGTCACGGGTTTCAAGGCTGAGCACAAACACAGACACAAGAAAGCTCTGAAAAAATACACAATTTTAACAACTTTGCATGAGATGAGCAGCGGGGCCACAGACAACTTCCTCACCAATATGAGTGATGGGAAAAGGCAGGATGGTCCTGCTGAGGTCAGCCAGGGCTTCAGTAACAGATAGACCTTGGCTCACACCAACTCTCACTCTGGTAAGCTGTGTTGTGCTGGGCAATTCACTTACCCTCTCTGATCCTCTGTTTTCTCAGCTGAAAAACTGGGTAGCAATATGTATCTAACCACATTGCACAGCTCTTTAAAAAGTGTGTAGCATATAAGCACTCAGCGAATGATAGCTTAGAGAAAAACTTCTCAGTGAATGCAAGTCAGGACCATTCAGGCAGGGCAATGTGATTCTCTTACCATCCACAGGCATCAACGGGAGATTAAGAATAATTCTACTGAGACGATTAGCACTTTTTCTCAAGTGGTCTATGTATACCTCTATATATAGCTAAGTAAATGTATTCATTTGTATGTTGCACTGGCCAGCATTTTATCTTTAGTTCTTAAGTTTTCTGGAACATCCATGAAGATAATAACTCCCTACAAAGGGCTTGCTGGCCATAAGACTGGCTGTGATTCAGAAAGCTGGAGGGGAGGTCTAAGTGTGGTTTGGAAATCCAAATAAAGAGTAAGCTCAGGAAAAAGCAGTTCTGCCCAAGACCCTTATCAGACAATATCCTGGTTTCTAGTGCATCCAAAACAACACTTTAAGAGACACTTAGACACTCAGATTCTTTTACAGATGCTCACTTTTATCACAAGTCATCATTATCATAACTACTAACTTGAAATCATTAAATAAATACTCTTTCTTCAAGTTCATTGAGTTAAGCCAGTCGAGATTTCTATGCTGCATTATGCAATAACAGTACCTATGCTGTTTTTTAAAAGTAAGTTGATTATTTAAAGTTTTAATCTGTAGGCTCACACATACCATTATCACCATGCTACAAAGTTTCCAAACATATTTAGATTGAATCTTCCCATGTATTTTTAATTAGAAGAATATAGAAAACAGGTTCACATTTCTGGAATATTCAGAAACAAATTCTTAATTTCCCTTCCTCCTTTTACTCAGCCCAGTCTCAAAATAAACAAAGCTTTGAAATTCACATTATCACCCAAGCTGTGATGCTGAAAGGAACCTGTAAAAGGGGAGTGATTCTCAGGGAAGGTGGTCCAAAGCTGTCAGAGACCAGAGGGAATGTGACCAACTAGACAGAAATGGCTAAATGGTTAGTTTCTAGAGTAAGACAGCAGATGTACTCCTTCTAGCTTACATGAGCAAGTTGCCTCAACATTCTATGCTCCAGGTTCCTCATTTGTTAAAAATGGACATGACGATGTTGATGGTGGATGATGGCAGTAGTGACACATTAACTCAGAGATTGTTGGAGAAACAAAATGAGCTAACAAAAAAGTACTCCAAACAGTTGTAGTCAATAGTAGGTAACATGTTGCTATATTACCATTACACAAAAGTGATATTCCTAAAAGGTTGAATGAGACTCATGATTTTCAAATGTTTTGCTTTCATGTGTCAATGATTCTTTGTTCTTAGAACCAGAAAGAAAAAAAAAATGCAAGGAAAATCAAAGCATTCAGGGCAGACAGAAAAGCAGCTAATACCTCTGGCTATTCAGAACTGTGTACACAGGCAACCCTGATCTTACAGGTGCCCCCTAGGTGGCATCAAAGGATCATGCCTCAAAAAGAAATTCCAAACCAAAAACACACTTATTTGAAGGAGAGAGAACAAAAAACTAGAAAGGCAGGTGAAAACTAAGTTAAAGAGAGTAGTGAGAAAGGTTGAATTAAAATTCCAGAATGGCTCCTTTTACAGACAATGAGTCACAACAAAATCCAAATATCCAATTGTAAAAAAAAGTAAATTGTCTCAAGAAAATAAAAGCCAGATAATAAAAACAATTAGTAAGATTTATTAATAGACTGGGTAGGCATTAGTATTACTGTGAAAACATTATGACATAATAATGTACAGCATTAGTAGTAAGCAATATTAGCTCATTTATTTTATTTACTTGAAAAAAGGAAAAACAACAACCAAATGATAACCAGCAGTTGACATTTGCTGATGCCTGGCATACTAAAAGACCTCAAATACCTATGGAATTACTACATACACACCATGGGAGGACAACATTCATGGACTCTATGCAATGAAAAAACCTGTGTCTATAACATAAACAACAGAAGAGGCAATGGAGCAGGCAGTGGCTGAAGAATACATACACTACTGGAGTCAAATAATTATTGGCATTCCCAACTAGCTATCTGAGACTGATAACACAGATGATATTAGTCTTTATTAGCTGCTTTAAGAGCAAAAGCTAAATTACAGCCATGCTCTCTAATAATTGAAGGCAAAATGACTACTCCTAAGCTACCTGCTCAATGAAACCCTAACCCAAATGGCTTTAGTAATATCTGGTCAGTCTCGATCTCCCCTAAAATACTCTAGAACTCTATCCACAGACTCCTCAGACAGGTTTCAAGGTCCTTGGAAAAACAAGATGGAGAGAATGAGAAAGCATATCATTTAGTTTCCAAATCTCAAAGATGATTTTGGGGCCAGGATTTCAATCTTTATTAAGGCTATTAAGGAGGTATAGCGCCATTTTAGAGACTGCAGATAGGGCTGTCTATGCCTCTCAATTATCCATTAGTGAGAATGATGGGTGAGAGAAAAGTTTCTTCACATCAATCCAGGTGCTCAGAGGAAAGATAGTTCTCATGTTCTCTCCAACAGCATAATAGATAGGGAGATAGACAGAAAAGATAGATAGACAGATGGGTAGATAAAAAGATAGAGGACAGATACATGTATAGAATTATATAATATAACCTATTATATACTATATAATATATAATAATATTCATATAAAATACACATACATAAAATATTGATGAACTCATCTAGAAAAAGTGCTACATACCTCATTGCTGAATATTACTACAGTCACCTTCAAAGTACTCCCCTTGGGAAGCTACACACCAATGCCAGTGCCTAGTCTACCTGTCAAAGCTACGTTGGAACTCTTTTTCTGGAATGGCCATCAGCGCTATTGTTATATTCCCTTTGATGTCCTGAATGTTATAAAAATGTCTTCCTTTCAATATTTCCTTTATCTTCAGGTAAAGAAAAAAGTCAATGAGGGTCAGATCAGGTGAGTAGAGAGGGTGTTCCAATTCAGTTATTTGTATACTGGCTGAAAACTCCCTCACAGAGAGTGCTGTGTGAGCTGGTGCATTGTCATGATGTAAGAGCTCCTTCAGGACCATTTTTACACACATATTTCTCATGCCAAGATTTTCAGTAAAGATTTTCCTAACTGTTTCTCTATTGATGTTTATTTGGTTTGCTATGCTTCTCACAGTCTGCTGATGATTTTGACACACAATTCAATGAATTTTTGCTGTTTTCATCAGTTCTGCTCATTACTGGGCACCCAGACCTCTCTTCATCAGTGATGCTTTCTCTTCCTTCAAAAAAACATTTAATCCACTTGTATGCTACTGTTTTCTTCATGGCATTATTCCCGTAAACTTGCACTAACATGTCCCTGATTTCACTTCCACTCCTGCCAAGTTTAACGAGAAATTTAATGTTCGTTGCTCTAATTCAAACTCTGACATTCTTGGGAGAACAGCTCTGATGGCCATTTCAGAAAAAGAGTTCCAAAACTGCTTTGACAATGAACTAGGTATTGGTGTCAGTGCATAGCTTCCCAAGGGAAGTACTTCAAAGGTGGCTGTAGTGATATTAAGGAAGTAAGTATGCAGCACTTATTCTAGGATGAGTTTGTAAAGTTAATTGACATACCTCATATACTATACTATATTGCATATACATATATACTCTGTATATAACATGTATAATTCATTATGACTGTAACTGGGTGACACAATATATTCTTAAAAGGAAGAACTTTCTCAAAATTCAAATTCAAACCCTCAGCTGCAAGGAAAGGATGGCCATGTTAAAACAGTATTACATTCCAAATCACGGGACTCAATGTTCTCTTTCAAATGAGGTGGCTATAATGGCTCTTATTGAACCCTGACATAGGTGTTTATTTCCAAACCTAGAGGAGTGATTCTGGTTCCAAAGAGGGAAGACAGAAGGCAAGCTCTACTCTGCAATCAATGCTGGGTACAGTGTCAAGCCTAAAAGAATTACCAATATAAAGCAACCACATGGCCCATTCGGGAACATTTCTATTTGTTTGGGTTATTTGTATTTTTTTTTTGTTAAGTGTTAGGCTAAAGATTTTGCAGTACTGACAGCCATAAATTAAGCCAACTGCAAACTTTACATGCTGGTAGAGAGCCACTGTCACAGCCAACACACCATGTGTGCTGGAATGATTCACATAAATGTTTCTCATCAACTTAGTAGAGACCGCATCCATTCCAACAAAATTCAGCCAATCTCAAAACAAGCATGTAAATTTATGCTACTAATTTTATAAAAGAAGAGTGCTTCCAAATGTTTCTATGGAGTGGCAAGCCCAACACAGAATTGAAGAAAAGACGAAAAGAAAGACCACTTTTAAAGTGATCGACAAATTGTACTAAATAGATCCTTAATTGTCAAAGTTAATGGTTATAGTTCTGCCCTTCCCTGTGAGGTTTTTCATGTATTTTATTTTTGAGGGAGTAACATTTACATACAATGAAATGCATGAATTTCTAATCACCTTTCAGACAACTCTCCTTAGTCTTCAGAATCATTGCATTACTTACGTCAGCAAATGTTCTTCTGGCTCCTTTGTTGAAAATATAAGTGCAGGTCGATGCTGGTCTCTATTCCATGGATCAGACTGTCCTCATAACTAACCTTATATTAAGTGTCTGAAGTCAATTAATGAAATTCTTCAATTCTGTTGTTG